TCCCTAACCATAATGCTTGTGAAGATGGGTTTCCATTTCTTTGGCTACCTTCTTCTATTTAGTACCTCTCAGCATCTCCTCACTAGAGAATTTGTCTTAAATTCTTCATTCAATCTATTATTTAAAATGTATAAAAGTACTCACCTAGAAGATGTTTCAATTTTGACTTGAATTTTGACCAAAGTAAATAAAGAGACAGATGGGTCGGGGATTTAGCTTAGTGGTTTTGCAACCTGCCTTGCAAGTGAAAGGACCCAAGTTCGATCCTTTGTACAAAAAAAAAAAAAAAAAAAAAAAGAGAGAGAGAGAGAAACACGGAGATTCAACGGTGAATTGAAAGTGATTAGAAGAACATGTTGTATTTATGTGGAGAGAAAAGAAGAGGGCAAAAATCTTCTAGACTTTTAAAATGTATCATTCATTCAGGTAACTGTTTCACTTTTTATAGCTCAGCCCTTATTATAAAAGGATTTTTTAAAATTAATGGACTTGACACTGATTATAGTAAATACCAAGAAAACGTGGAGGCTAAAAATACAAATTAACAATGACATGCCTATAACTTATTCACTGTCAAGCCTTATGCTGAGATTTACCTGAATCTTGTCACTGAATACTCACAACAAATTTGTGAATTAGCTTTTGAATTATCTACATTTTACAGACAGCAAGACTGAGTCAGATAAATGTGTTGTCCGAGATCTAAAATTCCAACCCGAGTTTATGACTGTAGTGAAAGCCTTTAAACACTCTGCTGCACAGCCTCCATTACAAATAGATCAAAGAAAAATTTAGGTAAATTAATGAGATATAAAAGTTTGCTTTAGGACATTAAGTGTTTTGAAAAATATTTTGAGGTTATTACTTTGAAGGAAAGACATAAGGTTCTTACACCAAAAAATCCCATGGTGACACTGATTTAATCTAGTATAGCATTTCTTGGGTTCTTGTCATTTTAAATTTATTAGCAGCTAATTTTTTTAGTTTTGATAGCATTCAGATCAATTCTTTTGAATTCACTGCGGATTTAGAACCCATTGTCTGAATCCCCAGAATCCCAAATTCCCCAAATTTATAAACTTTAAGATATACGTTCTTAAAAAATTTCCTCTATATTAGTCAAAGATTCCATAAAAGTAGATCAATGTGGGGAGAAGGGACAAAGGCATTCTTTCTATTTTTTTGTGTTTACTTTTCCCAGTACTGGGGATTGAAACCAAGGTCTTTGCACAGATCTACATTCCCACCCAACTTTCCATCCTTTTATTGCAATACAAGGTCTTGCTAAATTGCTAAGTTGCCCATGCTGGGCTCAAACTTCCTATTCTCCTGTCTCAGCCTCCCACAGTGGTGAGATTACAGGAGTATACCACACCTGAATTCTTTTCCTTTCTCCCTTATTCCTGAAAGTTTTCTCCTCTTTATGTGCTATGATTTATATCTGGATGTCCCCCCAAATCCTCATACACTCATAGATAGGGATTTTGGGAGGTGACTGGCTCATGGGGACATGATACTTATTGGTAATCTACTGATGAATTTATAACTAAATATGATGTTAGGAAATAGAGCCTGGTCAAAGAAGGTGGATCCCTGGGGGCATAGCCTAGAACGTTATATCTCACTTTCTCCTTCCTTGAACTCTTTCTCTTCCCTGCTTTCCACGCCGTGAGATGCCCCTTTGCCACACTGCCCTGCCATGTAGCCAGCTGACTATGGACTGAAACATCTACAAATTGCGAGCCAAAATAAACCTTTCCTTCTTTAAATTGTGGGTGATGGGTATTGTGTCTCAGAGATGAGAAAATGACTAAGACATTACCCAAGAAGCTATAATAGTGTGATGTATAATAAAGATGCCTCTCAACTCGAAGCACAAGGTATTTGATATACATGTATAAGTAGCTTTTTAACAAGTCTTTTCCACTCAGAAAGCTCTGCCCAAATTATATATTCTTAAAGAAAATATTAATATATTTTAAATACTGTATCTGAATGTTTATAATTTCCAAATTTAGAATTCCTTTCTTCTACTCAAACTGTACAAGTAAAAATATATCAGGATTCTTTTAAACTTCAACTTTCAAAAAGGGTCATTATCAAAATTGCTAAATTTACTGCATTAATCATTAACTTATTTACACAATTTAGTTTACATAACAGAACATTTTAGTACATATCTGATGTTGACTTACTACCTCTTCTTTTTCAAAATTGTTTTTATTTTTAACAAGGCAATACACAAACTTGATACAAACTTAACCAGTAAATAATAGCTGTTCCCCTTTCCCACATTTTTCCTGCCAGTATACATCAAATTTAAAATATTTTGGGTTTTAGTTCTTTTGTATAAACAACACATATTCTCAATTATTTACACTTTTTGTGTTATGAAATCCATATATTTACCTGCCAGCCTTTACAAATAATGAGCATATTGCCAACACTGCTTCATCGAGACCCTCGCCTTTTCAATTTCTCCAGAGTTTCCATCTCTTTCTCTTTACTAACCTGTCTTTGGGGCAGTGTAACTTCTTGCTCTATTGCCCAAGCCCTCTAACTCTCTCCCACTGCCTAGAAATTCTAAGTTCGACCTGTTATTTGCAGAGGGGACAAATTAGATTGCTGGAAATACTCGAGAGAATGTGAAATAAGTAACATTGCACCTTTTTTAATAAATGGCATTTATTAGCCAGGGATTTAGCTCAGTGGTTCCACCACCTGACTTGCAAGAGCAAGATTCCAATTTCAATGCCCAGTACCAAAAAACAAAACAAAACAAAGCATTTATTAGTTTTATATGTTTCATTTACATTGAACTGCACATATTTAAAGTCTACCATTTGAAGATTTTAAAATACGCATGCACCCATGAAACCACCCCCACAAAGTGAGAAATGAGCTCATTGCCTCAAAAGGTTTTTTTTTTTTTTTTTATTTGTTTGTTTGGTGCTAGAGTTTGAACCCAGGGTGTCCGGCATGCTAAGAATGTGCTCTACCACTGAGCCACATTTGCAATCACTCCTCCCTCAATATTTTCTTAGATCATCTTGCTTCTCACTGAACTCTTTCCCCAATCTAGAATCCACTAAGCTGCTTTCTGACACAATAGATTAGTTTGCGTGATCTATAGTTTTACACAATTGCAAAAGTACATACAATATGATTTTTGTGTGATTTCTTTCAGTCAGTTTAATTATTTTCAGATTTATTCATTTTGTTATGTGGAGCCATAATTCTTTATTTTGGTTACTGAATTGCTGTCTGTTGAATTCATATAAAATAGCATGTTTACTCATTCACCTCTTGATGGATATTCTGATTGTTTGTAGTTTGGAGCTATTACAAATAAATCTGTTATGGATATCCATGTACAAATTTTTCTATGAACACATAGCTTGCTTCTGATAAATAAATAGAAATAGAATGGCTAGATTGTACGGCAGGTGTATGTCTAGCTGCCAAGCTATTTTTCTAAAGTGGTTGTACTATGTTATATCAGTATTGCCACATTTTTGTGACAGTTGGTATGATCAATCATTTCATTTTTATCTAACAGGCAAATGATAGTATTTGGTTATTTTGCATTTCTGAGATGGTTATTGTTGTTTATCAGCCTTTCATGTACTTATTAGCCATTCTTTTGTCTTATTTGGTGAAGTGTTTGTTCAAATTATTTTTCTATTTGTCTCAGAGGTCTTATGACTCTCAAGTTCACTAACTCCCTAGAAGGATTCACAAGACTCAGTAGTAATATTTACAGAAAAAGTATACACTATCAGTGACAGAAAAGCCATATTTATCGAGTAGAGTCCTGAGTAGTCAGGCAGAGACTACCAAATCCTGTCCAATCAGGGATCTCATAAGATATATACTTTTTCTCTGGCAAGGAACTAGGACATATTATGTGAAGGCCCTCTGGATAGGAAAACCCATTCAGGATCTGGACTTTTCATAGAAGGCTGGCCACATAGCACAGGCTGCTATCCAACTAGCTATGGCAACTACAACTCAAGACCCCAGCAGTGAAACCAGGTACATAGCATCAGTTTTGATGTTTGGGCAAAGAAAACTGGATAAGATAGTATAATACTGTCCATGGCTCTAGTTGTATACAATACAGTCCTCAATCATTAACATAAAGACCCATCTAGGCCAGATGTGGTGGCACATGTTGGTAATCCCAGCACTCTGAGACCAGCCTTAGCAAGATTGTGTCTCAAAATTAAAAAGTTTAACCAAACTGGGGATGCAGTTAACTGCAAAGGTGCAAAGGCTCTGGGTTCAATCCCCAGTGTGAAATTTTCAAGTACCATATTCCCAAAGGTTGTCCAGGGATCAATAATGGCTGCAAGCTCTCTTAGAGGTGTATAAGGAGTAAACAACAAGACTTACTATGTTAGTTCTTTTCTCACACCCATTTTATTACTTTTTTGTTTACTTTTTATTGCGTGTTAGTTCTTCATCAAATATACAAGGTGTGACTGATAATTATAGTGAATATTTAAAATTTTAAAAATTTATTATAACAAAAGACACATTGCCATTAAGATGTACATATATATACACACGCGC